TTACATCTACATCCCAAAACAGCCACCCAGTTGAAAAGCTACTCCAGCCTTACTGTCCTGATAAAAATACTGAATGCCCAGAACAACCACCATGACCACTCACTTAGCACCACATAACGCACAAAAGGAAAAGAAGAAAGAACAAGAAGGAAAGTGTCTCCCATACAGGAAGGGTGTGTGTGGGTGGGTGGGGGGGGTGTTGGGGGATGGTGGTAGGGAAACAGGAGATTGGTGATGGAAAAGGTACTCTGGTGGAGGGATGGGTGTTGGATCATTGTATGACTGAAACCCAGTTATGAACAGCTTTGTAATGGTCTATCTCATGGATATTCAATTAAAAAATTTAAGAAAAAGTAATGTGGAATTCATGCCCCAAAAATGCAGGGGCTAGAGTGATAGCACAGTGGGTAGGGCATTTGCCTCGCATACAGCCGACCTGAGTTCAATTCACAACATCCCATATGGTCCCCTGAGGACCGCCAGGAGTAATTCTTGAAGGCATGAGCCAGGAGTAACCCCTGTGCAATGCTGGGTGTGACCCAAAAGAGCAAAAAAAAAATGCAGTATGAAGCCCTCTCTGGGGAATCAATACTCAGGCACTTAGAGATCTGTAGCAACAAGTAGAGATTTGGTCTCTGCGGGGCAGGCGGGCAAGGCGGGCAGCGGGCTTATGGGCAGAGGCCGGATGCGTGGGACTGCCACTTTGTGTTTCTGTGCTATGGGAATCTGCCTGATTGGCATCAGCTCAGACCACCTCCCCCTGACTCTTGTGAAGTTTGTGCTGTGGGGACCACTATGCGCAGCCTTGGGGAAATGGACGAGATCTGTATCGCAGGTGGGTCCTCCCGTTGAGGTTGAGGCTGCAGCTGCCCTGCTGGCTCTGCAGGAGTGCAGGGAGAGGCAGGGGAGTGCAGCTAGCTGGGCTGTCAAGTCACTTCCCTGCTCCCCCCCTCCGGTTCACCATCCATCAGAAAAAGACACTGGCAGAAACACCTCTTTTAAGGGCAGTTTGATGATGCATCATGTTTAGGGGCATGTGCACGTCCCTGAGGATCCACAACTCCAAGGATGCTCCCTCACAGGACACTGTGCATGTTTGCTGGGGTAGGAACCATGCCAGCAGTGTTGGTGACCACCAGAAGCACTTGGTTAGCAAAGTCCAATAAGTGCTTCACACTATAATGTGTTACAACAGGAACGAGTGATAGCACAGGGATTAAGGCTCTTGCCCTACACATATCCACCTTGGTTTGATCCCTGGTACATGGTGTGGTCGCTTAAGAACTGCCAGGAATAATCCCTGATCATAGAGACAGGAATAAGCCCTGAGAACTGTCAGGCGTGTCCCCCAAACCAAAGATTTTTTTAAAATACAATTAGGATAAAATATTACACAGCGGTCAAAAAGGAACAAGCCAAATCTCCAAGAGGCACTGTGGAGAGATCTTGCAAATAATATTAAAGGGGAAAGTGAGCCACAGAAGATGCTCTCTAGCAGGGGCCGCTGTGAGTGCCCATGCCCAGGTATGTCATATTTGTGCTCACACAGAGAAGAAAGAACTTTGGAAGGTAGACTGGAATACTGGAATAATGCATATTTGAAGTAGCTGAATGGAATGAGGAAAAAGACAAAAGAGACACAAAATCAAAACAGAGAAAACCCTTGTGCCCAGCCTGGTGGGAGATTCCTGAGAGGAAGACTTGGCTGGTGAAATGGAGCTTATAACACTCTCTGATGTGAATGTCAGGTTAAAACAACATAAACAATAAGGTTGTGAGTCCAGATGATCCTTTGGGACTTCCAGACACTGCCCTCCTGTTTCTTGGTATCTGGTTAATGTGGATACAGCTGAAACCACAGAGGGTCCAGTACAGAGGAGCCCGAGAGGAGAAGCATCCTCACCAGGTGTGCAGTGTGCTGGTGTGAACAAAGCCACCATCTGTTACATAATCATTTACATAACTGGACTGTGATTTCCTGCCCTTGTTGACACTGTTGCATTAGTAACCAGTAACCACAGGCAATTGTTCCCCAATGAGTGGTTGCTTTTTCAGTACCTTATCATCTACAACTGTGTTTGGTTTGCTGAGCTCTGGAATCTGTCATAAATAAACAATGCAATGTGTGGGCCCTCGCAGGGGAGTGTGCTGCCAAGGTCAGAGCATGTGCTTGTTCAGTGCCTGTTCAGGCACCCGGCCAAGTGTGGGCATTCTCAGGAGCACGAACTCAAGGGCCTCTTTCCCAGCGAGCATTTGATTTTCACCTAGTACCTAACGTGTATGCGGTCTAAGGGTAACATGAAGGCAACTGGGCTTGCTTGAAGTTGGTCTCAATAGTCCTTGGCTTCAAATTAACACTAACTCGGCTCCAGCTGCAAAAACCAAGGAGGAGTTGAAGTGTGGCTGTGCAGCCTGGGCACTGAATGAGGGATTCCTCTGTCTATGATGCAGCCAAGAGCACCAGACTGCCTCTTTAATCAACGGTCAGCATCTCTTCTTAGGGTCCTTAGGGCAACTGCTACATCTTCCCCAAGTTCCAACCCCACCTCCACCTTATTACTGAAACACTGGCCCTTTAGCCTCTCAGATCCTTTCCCAGATCCTTTCCCCAGGGGTACACCCCCTGGATGAGTACCGGGGCTCAACAGCAATAAGTGTAGGTGTGAGAAGCAGTCTTCCTTCACTGATCTGGCCAAGTCCTGTCCCGGCCTTCTCCATGGGCTAGTATCAGCCTCAGCCAGGTTTGTCACTTGGCCCATCCGTTGTCCCGCTCCTGACTTGACTTCTCTCCTGTTCACAGAGTTGTTCTCAGAACACTGTGCTCTGGGCACTTCTGAATCCAGGCCCAGCAGGAGTGACCATAACTAACCACCATCGTAGCCATGTCCAGGAAGGAAATGAGAGTAGCTTGGAACGATGGCCCTCCCCCAGCCACGTTGGCTCCGTGTTCTGCCTTACCTGGCACTTGGGCACCACCTGGCCAGGACTGATGTCCAGGCAGCAGGTCGAGTGTTGAGTAGTGTCTCGGCCACTTCTGCCCCTGGCTGCCTGCCGCTCTTCCATCTGTGCACATCTGTGTACATCTGTGCGCACAGCCTGCCTCGGCACGCTGCCAGCTACATGTTTTGTCCCGCAGTCTGGGCTGTCATACTTGGCTGGTCACTCAGGAGGCAAAAGTGAAGAGGACTGTGGTCAGAGTCAAGGGCCTGGATACAGGTTTCAGAGAAAGGCTTCCACTGGAACCCAACACAGTCGCACAGCAGGGGGGCCCAGGAGCCATGGGTTGGCTCTTGCTTGTCTCTCACAGGCAGGCGAGGTCAGCATCTCTAAATTGCTAGTTATTTCTTTCTTCAATTAAGGACGATTCTTCTGCTGCAGGAAGTTAACTCCCACCAGTTAATCTAATGGCCCCGAGTGCTGAAGTGTTTGCACAGTCTGAAGGCAGGGCCGGAACTTCCTTGGCAGCTGGAAACAGCTAAAGCTTGCAAGCCGGAGGTGTGGGGGGTGGAGGAGAAAGGAGAGGGACTTTTTTGTTTGGATTCTAAAATCATACAACGGGACTTCTCTTCAGATAGGGGCTTGGACTGTGAGTAGTTGGAACGAAAGGCAGCCAGGGATCAAGCCTGGAAGCAGAAGCAGTCTCTCCAGAAGAATCCCCTCCAACTTTGTCCTCCCCCTTGGGAAATGGGAGTGGGAAGTGGGGTCTTGCTAGAAGGTTTCTGCAGCTCCCAAATGACTCCCCAATTCCCAAATCCCAATTGCATTTGGCTCCCCTTAACCTCCCGTGCTCCCAAGCAGCTTATTAGGGTTTGTGTTGACTACAGAGTGGGGGGCGGGGGGTCTTAGTTCCCACCTCAGCATCCTGCAAGAGCGGGGCCTGCTTGCCTGTCTGTGAGCATGACCACACACATACATGGTGGTACTTGGTCAGTGTCTCTGACAGGTTGATTGCTTTTTTTTTTTTTAATGTAGGAGTACAGTTGGTTGCCTTTCAGTCAGCCACTGGTCTCTCTGTGATGGGGGACACCTCGGCGACACCTGGGCACTCTCTGAACAGCCAGTCTCCGTGCCCACCAGCAGGGGACGTCAGGGATAGTAAGCTCAGGGGTCAGAGCACCGGGCCAAAGATCCAACCCGGTGTGAGCACGGCAGGTGCGCCCTCAGCTGCCTTCCATAGCAGTTCCCAGGGTCATAAAAGCTCCGGGAGAGTCCCCGCGGGTGGAATCGTGTGGCCTGTGCGAAGTCCTGACTGTCCTACCCGTCCACCAAGTATTCATGGCTAGCGCCAGCCCTGGTGCCCTGGCGGTGAGGGAGGTCCACACAGACACCACCAAGCCAGGCAGTCTTGCCGGGCCAGTACTGACCGGGCAGAAATCGTAACCCAGAGCCCACCGTGCGGCTCACAGAACAGCCGCAGCGCCGCTGGGCTGGGACCCTGGGGACGCGGAGGCCGGGCCGCCGGCATCCCCGGCTCGACCTGGCGGGAATGCGGGCGGGATCCGCGTGCGTTTCGTGGGGCTGCTCGGCGCTCGGGCTCGGCAAGCCCTTCTGCGTTGGGGTCGGGCCAAACTCTCGAGGGGAGGCCCGGCCGGGCGGGGCGGGTCGGGGCGGTGGCGGACGGGTCCCTTCCGGGCTGTGGCCCCGGGGCGCCTCGCTCCGGCGTGGGCGCGGGGCGGGCTGCGGGTCCCGGCCTCGTCCTTCCTGTCTTCTCGCCCGCGCCGGCCGCACCGTGGCCCCGCCGGGCCGTCCCGGGCCTCCCGCCCGCCCGCGGTGCCGACCCCGGGGCTGCCATCCCCGGCCGCCCGCGGGGCTCCGCGTCCCCGTGCCGCCGGGGGCGGGTCGGTCGCGGCCTCCGTCAGCCCCTCCCGGCGGCGCTCGGCGCCTTTAAGGCAGCGGGGAGCGGCGCGGCGGCGGCGGCGGCGGCGGCGGCGGCCGAGGCGCGCGGGGCGGGGGCGCGGGGCGCGGCGCGCGGAGTCGCTCGGGCCGGAGCGCCGGGCCGGGCCGGAGCCGCGAGGACGCGGGCCATGGCCCAGGCGGGCCGCGCAGGTGAGGGCGGGCGCGGGGCCGGGCCGGCCGGGCGGGGAGGGGCGCGCCCAGGTGAGCCCCGCGCGCAGGTGGGCGGGGGCGGGGGGCGCGGGGGCGGGACCGGCGCGGAGGGGGACCCGCGCGCCCCGCGTCCTTCCCGCGCCCCGGCCGCCCGTGGGACGCCCCGTCCCCCGCGCCCGGGCCCGCCGCGAAGGGCCGAGTCTGCGGCGCCCGTCCGGTGCCGGGGAAGGAGACGGGAGGGGGGAGCTGTCCGCCCGCCGCCCCCGGAGGCGCGAGTGGCCCCACACGCGGGCACCGAGGGGACGTCCCGCGCCGCCGCTTCACCCCACGCCCCCAGCGCAGACCGGGACGCGCCCCCTTGTCCTGCCGCTCGCTCGCTCTGTTCGGAACGTGACACCCCTCACCCCGCCCCTGCTCGGAGACCCAGATTTCTTCTTGGAAGGGGGGAGCTCAGAGCTGCGCCGGTAGTGACCCTACCCCGCCCCAGGCCACCCGGCGCCCGCGCCCCAGAGATCCAGCCTCAGGGGCCGGACCTTGGGGGGACCTTCTGGGGTCTGAGGGCGCTGGCCAGGCGGTTCCGCCCTCCCCAGACTCCCGCGGTGTAGCTGGAGGTGGAGGGAGTGGGCGTTGGTGGTTGGTTCATTCATTCGACCAACCGCGCTGTTCATTCATCAGCACTGCTGGGTGCCTGGACCCTGGAGCTGGGCGCTGGGGACCTGGGGGTGGGCCCCCCCTGCCCTATGTGCGAGCTCTGGGCCTGATGGTGCCTTGACTCCCCTGGTGGAAGGTCCCCAGGACCGCTCTGTACTTGAAGTAGCTGCAAGCTTGGTCACCGCTGAGTTACTTAGAAGGCTGGCGTGCTGCATCTGTCCTCTGTTCACATTCATACTGGCAAGTGGGCACCTGCAGTGTCCTCCTGTTGGATTGGCACTAGCCTGGCACGAAACCCACCCCACTATCCCTGAGTTCTGACAGTGATGGAATGAATGAATGAGGGATCATCCATCCATGGGGTCTGATTCGTCACTGCCCAGGACCCCTGGCTGGATGCAGGTCCCCCACCTCTGTATCTGGTGTAGGTCTGTGATTTGCGCGCCTGAAGGAGTCCTGTTGAGGTGGGGCAGCTTGTGTGAGATGCAGCAAGTGTGGAACACACCGAAACAGCCCTTTCTCACTTCCCTCCCTTGCCTTGCCTTATGACACCAGTGAGCAGGAAAAGGCTGTCTCCCTCTTCTCTTCATCATGCTCAGGCCCATGCACATCTTGGCTCCTCCAAGAAGGCGCACGGCAGGGCATTTGTCCTGCTGCGTGTGTGTGTGTGTGTGTGTGTGTCTGTGCATGTTTATATGTGTACATGCACCATGCACACAGACTGCCTGCCAGGCCACTAACAGCAGTTAACAGTCATTGCTTGTACTTTGTTCCAGGCAGTGTGCTAAGCACTTGACTGCACAGTGATCCCAGGAGGGAGGAAATGTTACTCTTCCCCCTTTAAAACATCTGCAAACAGACACTCAGAGAAATCGCTCCCGCAAGGTGTCCGAGCGCCGATGAACCTCTTGGCCTCTAAGGACCTGAAGTGATGGTGAAAATCCATCACTGTTCTGAGAGGTCACCACCCATGCCAAAGAGGGGCATAGTTCCCAGTGGCCCCAGCCCCTCTGCCTTGGCCTGGGGAGGCTCTAGACCAGGAATGTAGAGGAATCTGCACTAGTGACAGGTGAAAAAAAATGGTCTTGCTTTGAGCCTCAGTGCTTCCTGCTGTTCTAACATTTTGTCTTTCTGCTGCAATTTCATGCTTGACCCTGTCCCTTAGGGCAGCACAAACGCACATCCTCTCTGGAACAGAATGCTGCCCTGCCATGTTCAGCAGTCACCCCAAGGAACATTTGGGGACTTATCCTGTCAAGATTAGAATTTTCTTTCTTTCATCAGCGTGTCCAGAATGCTTTGCATTTTGTATAGGTGTCCCTTCTCTAGCAGCAGTGTGTGGATGGGCCCACAGCTTCTCTGCTGGCCAAGTTTTAGCTTTAGTACAGAAGAGGACAAGTCCTTTTCCAGCTTGAGAGCTGAGGAGGCAATGAGGCACAGCTCTGATGGGCGCAGAGATGACAGGTCTTTATTCTGAGGGTCAACACTAATGCCAGTGGAGGTGGGGGGCCGGGGGAGAATGTGAGAATCTTCCCCTGAGTGAGGGGTCCACTCATGTTCTCTTCTATACTGACCCTAGGGCTATCCCTAAAGGAAGGGATAGAGATTGGGGGAAATCCAGGCCCCACAGGGGGCCAAGATTCCAAGTCAACACATTGTGGTATAGTGAGTGAGGGATCCTGATTTGTGTAGAAGGATCTAATTATATCGTCTCTTGTACAGTATACATGACTCAATGTAGATTGAGTCATGCAGTGTCCACTTGGATAGATGGGCACTGAAAGAACTTTCACTTTACCAGGTGAGTCCAGGTACAAGAGGCAATCCAATTAGGTCCCAGTGAGGCCTGAATACAGGAAAGAGGGCAGAGTCCACATGGTTACTGCTTTTCCCAGTAAGGGAGATCTGTTGAGATCAGCCTCCCTGTGATGCCCACATGATATCTAGTCTCAGAGGACTGGCATGAAAGAACAGGAAGAAAAGAGCACTTGGTCTTGTCCTCAGGGAACTGCCCATCTTGTGGACAAGGGAGGAGTGAGACTGACCATATGCAGCCGTGAAAGCCACAGAAGGGAGGTGGGGGCCATGGTGGGGGGCATCCAGGTGCTCCGGTCAGGAGTAATTGGGAGTACAGAACTGCCTGTAGGAACCAGTGGGGCTTGAGCCAATCTGGGAGATGAGTCTTCTCAGCAGCGGTGTTCAAACAGGCCGGTGCCAGGGGCTGCCTTCCAGGTGGTGGGGGTCAAAGCTAGAATGTGGGGATAGGCAGGATAGAAACGTGAACTGCAGATGAGTGGGAATGCAGGAAGGTGGGCAGGAGTCCCCCAGCATGCCTAAGGGTGGGCTCACCTATCTGACTGGGAGAGAGGATTCTGAGAGGGGTTCTAGGGCCTAAGAGAGCTTTGGAGAGCTTTGAACAGGGGGGTCATGGTGAAAGAATTTGGGATTTCAACAGCTCCTTCTGACTGCTCTTTGGGCTCCTGGTAGGGCAGGAAGAGACCAACCTGGAGCAGTTGTCACAGTTGGGAGGGTTTGGTGTTGTTCCTGACAGTTCCACTGCCCGCATCTTCTACCCAAGTCCCTGGGCACCCTTGCAGGCTGCAGGATTGTCTGTCAGCCTGGGGGCACAGCAAATGTTGGGGTGGGGGTGGCTTGCCAACAGCCAGGAAGGTCTTGAGGCAGATCAGGCCTGGACAGGAATGTCTGCAGAGGCCAGACTAGAGCCACAGGGCTGGGCCTTCCAAGCTGGAGGAACCTGTTTATTCTCGCCCAGGTGTTGGTCTCTGCTCTGGAGGGAGGAGCCAGTGGGTTGAGTGTCTCAAACTCCGTCATTCAAGTCTGTCAGATACTGATCCAGTAGTGGCAGAGGTGGCCGCAGAGTTGCAGATGATGCCAGCTGATTCTCAGGTTAAAATCCTGTGGACTCCAGAACACAGGCCTGGGGAGGACGAGTTATCTCCCAAGAGCCCTGAAAGGTGATGGTGGCACTGGCCTGGCCCTGGTATTTCTAAACCCTCAGCATGAACCTCACTTTGCTGCCTTCTCAGTATCCTAAGCCAGATCTCTCCCTCGGGGTCCTGCCCAGAGGCTCTTCGACCTTTAGACTGGCACTCAGAGGAGAGGGTATTTGAGAGCTTGGGAAAGGCACCAGCCATGGGTTTCTCGGACCTTAGGGGAGGTGTCTGGGGAGGGAAGGCATGACTCCGAGAAGCTCCCCAGCTGGGTACCAGGATTGCTGATGAGGGATCTAGAAGAGCATGGATGATCTTTTTTCTTGGAGATTGCAGATTCACTTTCTCAAATTCCCAGAGATAAAGCAAGGGCCAAGTAGGCCCTCAGACCACAGCAGACCCCACTCCAGACCCTGTGGTGCCTCTCAGTCCTACCCGTGGAGTGATTGCATGAGTCAAAGAGAGTGCAGAAGTGCCACATGTCTGATATCTGGCTGGGACACAGTGTGAGCTTGTGGGGGCTCTTTGCTGGGGTCTCTATGTGCTCCATGCTTCCTCCTATACATCGGAGTGGACTATGACTATCCACAATGAAAGAAGACCTGGAGCCCTTCCCAGGAGCTCTGTTTGTTACTCAGTGTGAGAGACCCAGGCCGAGAGGTCTCTGAGGTCCGTGGTCTCCCGGAACAGAGAGTGTGGACTCTAAGAGACCAGGGAGGCTGGCTGGGCCTGGGATTCTGGGCCGCAAAGAGGGAGGGACGAGGTCAGAGGTCAGCATCCTGGGCCCACTCTCAGTTTTGGGTGGCTGTCCTCTGTGCTTCTCAACACCCCTCCAGGGGCTTGGCAACATCTTTGTTATTTTTGTTTTATGGATAAGAAAATTGAAGCCCGGAGTCACTTGAGTGTCTGGTTCTAAAATCACACCCAGAGTGAGGGGCGGAGCCAGGGTAAGAATACAGGGCTCTGCGGCTCTTCCATCAGCACCAGGAGTTCTAAGTTGTGCGACTGAGAAGAGTCCTGCTTCTGTTTTATTTGTTGAACTTGAATTGTCTCATGGGATCTCAGTTTCTTCATCTGTGAAAGGGGCAGGATGGGAAGGAGTTGGAACCAGGTTAAAGTTGCTACAGCTCACTGCTCTTTCCTTTGGGGACTGACCCCTGCCACCTTTGTGGGGTCTCACCTCCCAGATCCCATCACTGAGCACCTCCCAGAAGAGTGTTTAGGGATTGGGGATAAGATGTGGTGCTAAGAACTGAGCCTTGGAGAACCTATGCCTAGGAGCTCTGGGCCTCATCCCATGGCGGATTTGCACCTGGAGACTCTTGGAAGGGGGTGTCCCGGGAGGGCCCTCAGGGAAGGGCTGAGAAAGGGGAGCAGGGGAGAATGCATAACAAATGA